GGGGGGCGCCGTGCACACGGCGGGAGCGCTCCCGCTGAAGTCTCCGTGTCCATCCAGGGAGGAGAGGTCAGCCAGGGACTGCTGGCTGCAGGAGGACTTCTCCACAAACTGCTCTGTTGGTGAAGGTAAGCACGGAGACACGGGAGACATTTATTTGAGCTAGGAAAGTTGTGACGTCAGAAATAAATATACATTACACGATTTTTTTTATCTTTGATAAATAAAAACACTGTGTTTCCTGTTTAAATTAAATTAAATTTAGAGTGGAATTATAAAATATTATATATTCACCTCGTTAATTAAAATGCAGTCAGAGATTCAACTCAGATTTGTTTTTTTTAATTTATAAAAGTTCAAATTAAAAAAGGCTCTAAATTGTTTTATTATTTTAGTTATTGTTATTTTGACAAATACACTTTTCCGTTAAGTCAAAAGGTGAATATGTCATACATTTGTCACTGAGTGAAGGTAAATTAACCATGAATTTAATCCAACGTCCTTTTAAAATGTAGATAAATAGACGTTGAAAACGGTTATTGTTTTACTGTATAAACAGAAGAAAAGCCGTTTTTGTAGAAGGATGTTTTATGTTATTTTATAACTATTTGCCTAAACATGGACGGAGAGTATTCAATATCAAACAAATATTTGTCGCAAAGACCATATTCGGTGAATTAAATTAAAAGGGAATACATATAAAAAATCGGGTTAAGCATAAAAGAAACCCTTTTAAATTCATTAATTTAAATTTAACACTGTGGCGATAACAAATAAAGAATCAATGTAGTTTTCCATTTTAGGTTTTAAATTTGTTTTATGAATTTGTAAAACAATAAATAGAAATCACACGTGTTTTTGAAAAAATAAATCCCCTATTGAACTACCTTGATGATAATATAAGATAAAAACTTGTGATGTGAAAGATTTCATTTTGATAATAGTCAAAATGAACCAAAATAAAAACCACGTGAATTTCCAAATTCTTTGCACAATAATGTTAAGATATTACACAGCAATGCAGCTTTAGCCTCAGGTTTGTCGTCATCGTCTTGTGTGTTTCTCACTGACATTTAACCTTTACCTATAACTAAACCTTTTACTCCGTGTGTTTACCCAGTGGATTTGATTAAAAACTTAAATACTCAAAGAATCAGTTTCATCTTAATAAAAGTCATTAACTTAATTTTAAGAATTATTCAACGACACACACACAGATGTGAATGCAAATATTTGTCATTTTAACCAAAAGTGTATATTTATGTACACTTTTTATTACCTTTATTTATTTATCTGTTTATTTGTAATTAAATTTTCGCTGTACACATTTTTTTGTTTTGCTTTTGTTCAATTTAAACTTCTTATTCTGCTGTCTTGAAAAAAGACCGGACTTAAGATTTTTAATAAACTGAGATAATATTGTAAAAAAAATGTATTTTCTTAATTTCAAAATTTAAAAGTACCAACAAATAAAGGCTAAAAATGAAAAAGTTTCGCTCACAATTACCAACAGGTGTCGAAATGTTTCTGAAATTAATATGATCACCAATCAAGTCCTCATAGAATATTGAAAAGGTGTATATATGTTTCTTTCTGTCTTTGTTTTCTCTCTGTTTTTTTTTTTTTTTTTTCTATGAATGGGGTGTGGACTTTTCTCCTGTGCTGTTTCATTCTTACCCAGAGGTTTGATGGTGCTCTCCTCTGTCTCCTTGTCTTTACTGCTCTTTCCACTGGACATCAGGGCCGCTATGGAAAAGGCGTTCGCCCGGGATGACAGTTGCGGTTTCGGGGATGACGTGTACTCCATATCCGCGGCAAAAACTTCCCCGTTTAATTAGAATTATTTAATGTAAATAACAATACTAACAAACGTCTGCAGAATCCCGTTCTTTTTTTTTTGTTTTTTTTTTTTGGCTTCCAAACTGGGAAAAGTTGCACTTTCTCCTTGATTTGGCTTCTTCGTTGCGCACAGAAACAACCTGTGGAAAGACTCAGCCCTCGGTGCCGTTTTGCACTAAACTCTTGCAGGATGCATGTTGACAGGAGGAGGAGGTCAGAGTCCGCAGACGCCGGTGCGGGTGTATGTCTGAGTGGGTCCCGTCCTAGTGTCAGACGAAGCTCCAGTCCGGCGGATTCAGCCTCCTCTTTATAATTCCACTCTCTCCTCCAATCACTGCCTCTGTTCCTACGTCACTCTCTCACTGTCCCACAGCGGCCGTGTTACTGAGGAGCCAATAAAAACCACTCCGAGCCCACGTCGCTTCTTTTCCCTTCATACACAAAGAGCCTAAAACACACAAACAGCACAGTGTGTGTGGTTTTGGAAATGGATCATTGAAAAACTTCACACTGAGCAAAAAAAAAAAAAAAAAGAGGCGATGACAAATAGACTGCAAATAGTCGGCAAAGTGTATTTTTATTGCACAATAATGAAAAGGGAGGTTATTTTGTTTCTGTGTGGGGCCTGGACCCACCCCAAAACCGCATTTTAGAACCCATACAATGGATGTCTAGAGAAGAGATTTTCTTTCCTAATTCAGTCATTTTGAACCGGAGCAGGAATTCACAGCCGTCTGTAGATTGAACTGTACTCTAATAAAAACATGTCGTACATTGGAACACAGCGGTGACATATCCACTGAATTTGAATGTCTCCGTCCAAACTCAAACGTGAAAAAATCACTCTCACCTTTTTTCTATTTTTGGTTTCATTACCAGATGGCAGAATTTCATCTGGAAATGTGTAAATAATTCTATATATAGTTTGATGTTATTTCATTTAATATGTATAATATATATGCACAGACAAATCATTTTATGCTAAATAATAATAATAATAATAAATAGGTATAAAATGAAAAAAAGATTTAGAAAATAACCGCTTCCTGTCTGCTAGAACCAACAAAAATGTCAAAAATCAAATTGTAAAAATAACTGTACAGTACAGTTGTATGTTGATACAAAACTGATATAATAATAAAGATAACTATTAAAAAAACTAATAAAGAAAATACAAAAATTACAACTTACAGTCAATGACGGTGATTTTGCTGTAAAGTCATTGCTTATATGGCCCATGTAGAATGAAGTCCTATGACGGCTGGTCATTCATATTTTATATATACATATATATCATATATATGTATATATATATTTACATATATTAGAGACTAATAGATGTTACTGTGATGTGATTCTGATAAGAAATACATTAAAAAACACACATGTCAAAACTGTTGTTCCCAAGCTCCCCGTCCATGATTCAATGCAGTCTCATACATGCACATATATTTGACTTGAAAATGATACTTTCTGTTGAAGAGCCAGTTAGAAATGTCCACCCTGGCCTGACCCTTAAACTTATTTTAACCTTAACCTTAACTTTGACCACTGACCTGGAGATCGACTTTTTCTTCTCAGCTTTTCTTCCCTGTTTACACACACACACACACACTGAGACACACACACATACTTGAGTGCAGTCTTTCCCTCATCTGTACTAT